TTCATTGATTTCCACTCTGAACTTGATTATACAATTCCTTCCACTTACTTTGGATCTATTTGCTCTTTTTTAAGCTTCTCATGGTGAAAGTTAAATTATTAATTTTTAATCTTTCTTTTCTAATATGAGATTTAAAGATAAATACTAATTATTCAAGTCAAAAAGCTAAATACTGCTTTTGTTGAATGCATATACTTTGATACATTGTATTTTCTTATTATATAGTTCAATATATATATTTTTAATTTCTCTAGTGATTTGTTCTTTGATCAAGCAGTTATTTTGAAGTATGTTGCTTATTTTCCAAATATTTGGGAATTGTCTCAATTTCTCTCCCTTATTGATGTCTAATTTAAATCTGTTGTGCTTGGAATGCATACTTTGTAGGATTTCAACCATTTAAAATTTGTTAATAAATTATTTTAAATTTGTTGTAAACTTGTTGTTTTATGGCCTAACGTATAGTCTACCCTGGAAAGTGTTCCATGTGCACTGGAAAAGAATATATATTTTAATACTGGTGAACTGAGTGTTCTATAAGTTACATAGATTATATTTATTGATAGTGTTTGTCAATTCTTTTATATTCCTAGTGATTTTCTGCTTAACTATTTTATCAATTACTGAGGGAAAGTATTAAAGTATCCAAGTATAATTGCTGAATTTTCTCTTTCTCCTTTCAGTTCTATCAACCTTTGTTTTTTTACATTTTGGGCTTTGTGGTTAAGTGCACATATATTTATAATTTTTATATCTTTTAGATGCTGCTGACCCTTTTAAGAGATGTCCCTCTTTATCTCTAGTAATATTTCCTGTCTTAAACTCAATTTTGTCTGATAGTAATATAGATACATCAACTCCACTCTTATGGGGTTTTTTTTGTGTAGAATGTCTCTTTCCATCCTTTTACTTTCAACTCATTTGTGGTGTTTTTTTTTTAAAGATTTTATTTTTCCTTTTTCTCCCCAAAGCCCCCTGGTACATAGTTGTATATTTTTAGTTGTGAGTCCTTCTAGTTGTGGCATGTGGGATGCTGCCTCAGCATGGCTTGATGAGCAGTACCATGTCCGTGCCCAGGATCCCAACCGGCAAAACCCTGGGCTGCTGAAGCAGAGCGTGTGAACCCAACCACTCAGCCACGGGGCTGGCCCCCAACTTATTTGTGTTTTTGAATCTAACGTGTCTCTTGTAGACAACATATCTTTGGACCTTGCTTTGTATCCAGTCTAAAAACCTCTGCCTTTTCACTGAAGTATTTAGTCAATTCGCATTTAATGCAATTACTAGTATGTTTGGATTTACATCTGCTATCTTGCTATTTATTTTTCTATATCTCATGTATTTGTTTCTCTGTTCCTCCTTTAAGTCCTTCTTTTGTATAAGAATTTTAATTTACCATTTTAATTCCACGGTTGTTTTTTTTCACAGTTGATTTTTTCATCTGCCTGTCTGTTTTCCTATCCATCTACCTATCTATTTGTGATTGTTCTTGGCATTACAATGTACTTCTTTAATTTATCTCAATCTACATGAGTTTAGTGCTGACTTAACATTTGTAAAATATAGCAGATTTGCTTTAATATAATACCATTTTTTCCTCCATTCTTTGCTATAATTGTCACTCACTCACACAACACACATACTACCCATACCAATAATAGAGTATTATAGTTATTGCTTTAAACAATCTTATATTTAAAAGAAAATAAGAGAAGAAAAAAATATGCATATATAGCCCTTTATATTTACCTACCCATTTACCATTTCTAGTGCTTCTTATTCCTTATTGTGGACTCAGGTTAACATCTGTTGTCATTTCCTTTCAACTAAAGAAATTAGTATTGTTGTAGGCCAGGTCTGCAGGCAACAGATTCTTTCAGTTTTTATCTGTAAATGTCCATATTTCACCTTCATTTTTGAAGAAAAGTTTAGCTAATTCTAGAGGTCTTGGGTGACAGGTTTGTCCTCGTTGAACACTTCATCTATGTTATTTTACTGCCTTCTGATTTCCATTGTTTCTGATGAGAAGTCAGCTGTTAATGATACTGTCATTCATTCTCTTGTACATGTTGAGTTATTTTATTCTTACTGCCTTCAAGATTTTCGTTTCATGTTCAGTTCTCAGTAGTTTGATTATGAGGTGTGGATCTCTTTGTATTTGTCTAACTTGGAGTTTGATGAATTTCTTGGATGTATACATTACTGTTTTTCGTCAAATTAGGGATGTTTTCAGCCATTATTTCTCCAAATATTTATTGTGCTCTATTTTTATTCTTCTCTCTTCCTGGAGCTGCCATTACAGATATGTTTATGTGCTTCATGGAATCCAACAGGTTTCTGAGACTGTGTTCATTTTGTCTTCAATATTTTCTCACCGTTCTTTAAATTGGGTAATTTCTGTTGATCTACTCTCTAGTTCTCTGTTTTTATCTTCTCTCTCAAATCTGCTGTTGAGCCCATCTTGTGAATCTTTTATTTCAGATATTATACTTTTAAATCTAAATTTTGGTATCGTTTTTTCTTTCATACTTTTAACTTCTCTATTGAAATTCCTTATATATTGAGTCATTGTTATCATATTTTCATTTTTTGAATGCAATTTCCTCTAATTCTCTGAACATATTTAAAATGCTCCTTTGAAATCTTGTGTTATTCTTACCTGAAGCTCTAGTAGTTTTTCAAGAATAACTGTGTCTCAATTTCCCTGCTTTTGGTTGATTTCAAGACTTCTGGTTATTTTTGCCAGTTTTTTTCCCATTTTATTCTTATTTTTTTCTGGACAGGATTTGCTGACCTCTTCATGCTACAATAACAGAATTTCTCATCTGTTTCTTCTTGATTAATGGAACCCATGACTTACCCCTTCTATAATCGATTTGATTTTTTTTCTGGTCCAGCTTGGCACTTCAGTTTACCTTATAAGCCTAAGTGGGGAAAAAAAATAATGTCCTTCCCTATGGTCCTGCTTTACCAAGCAGTCATTGACTAGGGAATGGTAAGCGCTAGCCATAAAATAGTCCTCTAATGTCTCTGTAACACTTACTAAGTCTTTTCCTTTGCACTTAAGGACCACATTTATATAATAAAGATTATTGTTTTTAATCATATACCTTAAAATCTGAAACCACCAACTGAGGAGATAAACTTTCTGGAAACATGAGAATGAGGGAAGAGAAACATAGTGAGGGTAACGATTAGCAGCAAGGCAGATTTAGGAACCCATCGCAAAGCTTTATTTCATTACTGGGCTATGGATCACTGTCCTCATAAAAACATTGATAGATACATTTAATAAATTCCTTGAAATAGGAGGATACTGAATCATCATCCATCATCTCCAGTGGGCCCTACTGAAGCCCTTGGACTATAACTATAACAAATTACTTCCCTCAAATAATGTAGAATCTTATCTTAAAATATGTATGCCTGTATCTCCTTTTTATATCACAAAATAATTTCCTCAAGGATAGGAGCCACTACTGTCAAATTTACTTTTTTAAAGCATCTAACAGTGCCATGTACAACTGAGTGCTTTATTCTTTTCTGATGATGATAAATTTAACAATACCTTTTAATAGAAACTCAAGCATATACAGAGATGAGGTACTTTATCAGCAACAGTGCCATTATGGAGCATGCAAAGAATTCTGGGAAAGAGAAAAATTAAACATTATTTCTACTTGGTAATCAAGGGGTTATTACTGGGATTCAGTTTAGGGGATGTTAAATCAAAGATTTGGGTAATAGCTTAGGAGTATAAATGTAGGAACAAAAGCTGAGATCTTTGAGTGAAGTATGAGGGTGAGATGGGGACACAGGCAAACAGAATGAAACTGGGATACAATCCATGAAAGAAAAGATGGGTGACACACAAGGCAAAACTGAGTCTAGGATTCAGTCTACTCATGTGAGTCAAGAGTGGAGCATCAGCAAGAAAAAGGATCTAAGTGGAGACTGAGGCAGGGGATGGTCTGGGGGATCTGAACACGTGCCAGAGTCACTGGGAACTGAGATTTAGGGCCAGGAAAATCAGTCACTGGGAATATTCTTCCACTAGGGGGACTGGAATTAGCCAGGGACCTTATTAATTGAAGAATTGTGGAACAAGAGGAGTGAGGTTTGTGACAGGAGTAAGTTGATGCTGAGCTGAATATCACAGGAATACTTTTAAGTAGGTTCTGTCTAAGCAGCTGTGAAGATGGATGTTGGCCCAGTCAGCCAGACAGGTTATAATCACTATAATTCAACTTTTTCTACATTTCCTAAGTTTTGTCCAGTCCACAGTATCAAGTCGATCTTTCTAACTAGTATTATATATGTTGTATTTCAAAAGTATTTTTGGCACAACTCAATCTCATCATTTCAGGACCTCCCTAAAAAAGAGCTTAGATCATTTATCCCCATAAGTACCCCATATTTTTCTGTGTTAATGGTAATAGGATATCCAGTCATTTCTTTGAGGGGTAAAAGGGACCATGGGAAAATTTGTTTGAGGCTAAATTTTGTTACCTAACAGTGCTATAAAAATTTTGAGTTGATTTGTCTTATTTAAATATGGAATTTCATTTCTTTAGAAAGTATTTTTCCACTCTTCCTTGTTTTGGCTTAAAAATTGATACATTTTTACAGTCATCCTGTATCTTACTTCAAAATTTAAAAGACTGCAGTAAGATTATTTAAAATATTCTGTTTAATTTCCAGCTTCTAAGATGTTAGAATGTATTTTAAGGTTCTAGTTTAACTACTAGTTTAACATTTTGAGACAAATGAAAGAAAATTGGAACTAAAACTTCAATAATCATCATCTATTCTGGTTTACCTACTTTACCAATTTGTGTGCCAATGTTTGGGCTTTTCTTTATGCTTTAAGAAGTTGTTTGAGGCTTCTAAAGAACATGGCCCCTTCATCAAGCTCAATAAATGTGGCTTTTACCAGGGGATCAGTGGTTTACTTGGCACCATTAACAGGGTTAAGATTCACTCATTTAATCTGTTCACAGAATTGGTACAGATTTAGCAGAACTATAAACCCTTATGAAGAGGATCACAAAATGACTATGAGAATGGAACAGCTTCCTCACAAAGGCGCAATAAAAAGACCACATTTTTCAACATGGGAAGGTAAAACTCAGGGGTCCTGTTATCAAGATTCTGGTTCTTGATTGAACTTCTTTCCCTGACTAAAAAAAATTATCGTCTACGGCTAGAGAGGAAAGGTCCCCCATCCCTCCTCCCCACCATCCTGTTAGACTCTCTAAGAATGAAGCATTCTTCTGGTGTCCTAATCAGGCCAGAAATTGTGGGCTTCTGGGAATAGTGAGAAAGGGATGGTTCCCAACTCCACAAGAAGAAAGATAAGAATAGAACGAAGAGAGTTTTACCCAAATGAGGTTCTGTCTCAGAGGAGAAAAGGCCTCAGACCATTCTCAGCATCCCTTGGGGCCCTCAACAAGCTCTCCCTGGGCTTCCATTGCCCTTTTCTCTGCAGTAACAGAGTGGTTTTCCTCTGTCTTACATAGGACAGTTGCCAGTCTTGGACGGATTTCAGTTGCTCCTGGCAGCAGTCACCTCACCAGTTCATGTTCTGCCCAGTGTTGCGTAACCTCTAAACAAGCCTCCTGACTTGAGCAGTTTCTGACCATTTTTCACCACCACCTACACCTTCCACCCACCCTGAGCGTCAGCTACGAAGTTTGGTAATGCCCAGCTAGTTCATACAGGATAAGAACAAGGTATACAAATTTATAAATAGTGTGGATTGTACTTTTATATTAAAACCCAGAACACAGGCATTCTTGAAGCCCAAAGGAAAAAACGCCCACAAGGATAACACCACCACTAACAATGATTCCATTACAAAGTAATCACTACTTTATACAATGGATAGTAAATAGATAAAGTTATGGTCAATAATTTGTCCAAGAGGAGATTTATATATACATTCAAGAAGAGTTTTTACTCAGTTTGTGGATAAAAGACATATAAATGACTAATAAAGGGAAATGAAAGATTTCAAAAATATCCCTGACATCTGAAAGTTGAATTCGTGAGGGGGACGTGCCATGATCTCTGTAAAGCTTCACTTAGCCTCGTGTGAAATGGAATGCTGACACAAATTCAACACTACTCTTGCCCACATGGAATGTTTCATGTCTCATGAGTTCATATATCAAACACTGCTGGGACTAACAACTTTGGCATCTGATAGAACAGATAGTCATACAGAACAGACACCCTTACCAGCATGGTATTGCTGAGGTCTAGGCCCTGGGTGTGTTCATGCCACAGGTTCCTAAGAGGAGTCATCAGAGACTAGGATAAAATGTCTGTTATTCATCTGGCCTCTTAAAACATGATAAGAGCTGGACACATTCATCTCTGTGAACAGGTGAATTGTCCCACTTATTTTGAGCCTTGGTTCAATTACTTTCCCTGAGAAGAATCAACAATGCCATTGTACAATGATAATGCATTTGATTCAGCAGGAAATACAAGAAGAGAGAAAATAGAAAGTTTGAGTTCTGAGCTTTGAGTCAAGGTACTAGTCTCTGGATGACCTCAAAATCTTACGTGGTATATAGAGATGTAATCTATACCATATATTATGTAAGAACATTAGAGAGAATGACAATTCTCATCATTATTACAACAATGGATAAATAGATTGTGATCCTCCTTTTAAACTACTAGCATAGGCATTTAAGAATAACATCAGTTTACTTTTTCCAAAGTTCACCATGTTCATATATATTGAATAGAAACCTTTTATTAAGAATATTAGAATATTTTTGTTTATTTGGATTACTTTTATTAAATGTAAACTATGTTGAGGAATTCACTTTTGACTTTATACAACTATGAATGTTAAAACAATTATGTGACTTTTATTATCAGCAAAACAGATTTCCATTTTGAAAGGAATAACCAGTATATTCCTAAAAACCAAATAAAGGAGAATTTGACATGTTTCTGTCAGGAAGCATGTCTAATCTAAATTAGACGGATGTGAGAAGCAGAAGGACAAAATGTAACAGTCAAAATATCTCAGTTTGTGAGTGTCCAAATATGTCAAAAAGCTGTCTGCTCTTTCTGATGGTTGATTAATTTCTTTTCCTTATGACGTCATGCCTGAGCTTGCAGAAGATAATGACTCGTGCAGAAACGACTCTGTTAGTCAAAATTGAAAAATCACTGGGTTGTGGCTCTAAGAGATGAGATGAAAAGATGACCATGGGCCTAAGTATAAATAACCATGCTTTTTTCACCAATCACAACTTTTGAAATTAAGTTGTAAAATTCAGGGTAACATGAGAAGGGAATGTCACATGGCTATATATACTTAAATCATTGAACATGTTTCTTAAGATTTAAAAGGATTTGAATTAAAAGGAAAATTAGATTGTGAAGGCTATGCAAGTTATTAAATTCCTTTTCAAAACATGTTTCTTTATACAAGGTACATGTGAAATATTTGCCTTCTTAGAATTTAAAAAATCAATTAATTCCTTTGGGATTAGTCAAATGGCTAATATAGAGGACTAATGATAATTTTTGATTGTATGTATAAATCTGTGTATTCATAAACATACATATCATTTTAGGGAAATTCAAAAGGAATTAAATTATCAACACAGTTTTAAATAGTACTTAAAACCCCAAATCAAATTCCAGAAAGTAGAGAAAAGAATCAATCAGAAGATGCCTTGGAGGCATCTTGGCTTTAAGAAATTTGTTTTGATGTTTTATAATGGCATCAAGATCAGGTTCAAGTAAGGAAGGACGTTTTTGACTTTGTTGTGTTGTGTTTTTGTATTTGTTTACTTAACCCATGTCAGTGCTGTTGGCCGGGGGGGGGGGGGGAATGTAACGAGCTCTATGCATTTGAGGAAGGACACAAAATATAGCATTTCTTATTCAGTTGGGTGTGCTTAAGTGAGATTGCTCAGGTTTTTAAACATGTCTGAAAAAATGCAGTGGAAGTAAAGTTTAATTCACCAATGTTAGTATTTTCTATGTTGATTATTTTTTCATATTCTTTCCCACGTATTAAGCTGCTTCACAAAATAGTGTTTACCAATAACATTTCTGAGAATAATATTCACTCTTTTGGAAATTTTTTTCCTATAAATGGTATAAAACATTTAGTTTATAAGTTACAATACATGTGTACATCCTTATAACATCCATTAAAGGGAAAAAAAACTTTTTAAGTGGTATTAAAAAGCTTTAAGAAGAAACTGAGGGGCTGCCCTGGGGCCCAGTTGTTAAGTTTGTGAGCTCTGCTTCGGTGGCCCAGGGTTTCCTCAGTTCGAATCCTGGGCGTGGACGTGGCACTGCTCATCAAGCCACACTGAGGTGGCGTCCCACATGCCACAACTAGAAGGACCCACAACTAAAAATACACAACTATGTACCGGGGGGCTTTGGGAGAAAACGGAAAAATAAAATTAAAAAAAAAGAAGAAGAAGAAGAAGAAACTGAGGTTCGGTATTTAAAAACAATATTTGAACAAATATATTTTTAGTGATTCCAAACATTTTTGTGGATGTTACTTCAATTCTAAAATATTTTTGTAGATGCTATCGGTAGTCGGCTATTATTTTGTTTACATATTACCCAATAGAAAACAAGAACCCTCCATACTAAGGAGAACATACCCAAGTTGAGAAAGAGACGAACTTCCCAAAGAGTTTAATCAGAAACGCATAATTGGGAGCTTTCCTAACCACTTCTGGTTTGGCGCTGCCTGATTCAAATAGATTTTTGCTCAAATAAACTCTTAAAATTTTTAATATGCCTCAGTTTATCTTTTAGCAGTTCTATCAGAAGAGAGAAACAAAGGCGACCACCCCTCCACTCCCCCGCAGCCGTGGGGAGACTGAGCACCCAGGTACCTGATGAGCCCCTGGGCTGGCTGCTTTCTCAAAGCTGCCTCTGGAGGTGCTAAGTCCCTCCTCGGATCCTGGGTCCTAGTTCTGCAAGCTTTTGCATTACGAGCTTTCAGATTTTATTTGAGCCTTTTTTTTTTTTTTTTTTTTTTTTTTTACTTACTGGGTCTAGCTTAAAAACTAGATTGGGTGTGGGGACGGACTGGGTTCCGAGATGAACTGGGTCTGGCTTAAACTTGGTCCACTGCGAAGCCGCCAGCGCGAAGCCTCAGGTGAATAAAATTTTGTTTGAAGCGTGAATGAGTAGGTTTAACTTTTGAAAGTGAATCTTGAATTACAGTGGCCAGAGTGAAGAACTTCTAACCTTCTTAGATAAACGTATCCATTTACGAAGTCCCCTGGAGAAAAAGGAGTCTCAGCTAGGGATGCACTATAAAGGGTAGAGGGAAAATTATTCCTCCTCTACAGTTTCTGGTGGCCAGGATGAGACCCACTGGGATGCCCACTCACTCCACAGAGCCTGCATACAGCATCCGGGGAAAGCTGGCAGAAACCAGCAAAGGGTCAGAATTTTACCAAAGTCAGCTCTCTATCTGTGGTATCTGGCAGAGAGAGGAGGGTAAAATTTCACATTGTCCCTTCATTTCCAAATTCAGATTGTCAGAAGAAACATTGGTTATGGATCCTTTCTCTCTCAGGGACAGCTATTGCCTTTTTGTTGGCTTCATTTTGTGTCCTGAGAACTTGGCTTGGCAATCGTCAGATTGGGGGCCCCCAAAATATGGCTGGACAGAAATGTAGGTTGCACTGCATTTGCAGCTAGGATCCTACCAACATTTCCAGCTCTCAGGGGACTTAGGTCTAAGTCTTCTTTCTTTTGGTTATCTTTGGGAGTGGCTCTGGATCTTGGGAGGGTAGTATCTTTTGCACCCTCTTTGGGGACCCTTTTGTGTCCGTGATGTTGTTCACTACTGCCAGGAATATTTCCTGTTTGTTCCAGCTGAGACCTGACAAGACATTAAAAAGGATTTTTTTTCCAGTTTATTGAAATATAGTTGACATACATCGCTGTATAAGTTGAGGGTAAACAGCATAATGATTTGACTTACATGTATCGTGAAATGATCACCTCAGTAAGTTCACTTAGCATCCATCATCTCCTATGGATACAATAAAAACAGAAAACAACGAAAGAAAAAAATTTTTTCCTTTGTGATGAGAGCTCTTAGAATTTACTCTCTTAACAATTTTCCTGTATATCCTACAGCAGTGTTAACTATAGTCATCATGCTGTACGATACATCCCTAGTACTTATTTATTTTATAACTAGAAGATTGTGCCTTTTGACCATCTTTCTCCATTTCCCCACTCCCCATCCCCCACCTCTTGGTATTATTCTCCTAATAGTTATCATTGTAGACTCCATGGTGTACCATGCTCTTTCAAAGGCTTAAATGCATGTTCATGGCCATCAGCAGTACATCAGATGGTCTCATTGCGCTTGGAGAAACAAACAAAATGAACAGCAAAACGAACACTTCCAGGGATCTGACATCATAACTTACGAGTTTCACAATGAAACAAGAGCCATTTAACTCTGATGTGACTTCAAGTGGAGCTATAACCAAATTTTTGGTCAGTCTCTCACGTGTGAAAGGATGACCAAAAGGGGGGAGTTGTTAATTAAACAAGGAGGCTGTTAACTGAGGTGGCTCTTGTGCCGTGGCAGCATCTGAGAGCAACCCAATATCTAAGCCTGTAAATGACTCAAGATTATGAAACTAAAACTCTAAGGATAACCAATCACAAACAGCTAACTAGACTTTAAGCCATAACCA